TGACTATGCTGATGATGTTTATGGCGATGATGGTGATGATGATAATGGTGGTGATGGTGATGATGATGCTGCCGATGATTATTGTTACGGTGATGACGACGCCGGCGGCAATGATAATCTTCCTCCTTCAGTGGACGCCGATGATGGCGATGCTGATTATGACAATAGGGACTACAATACTGGTCTTGACACTGTTCTTGTGTACCTGTTATCTTCTCGGCACCGGACTTTTGTTCCAAATGCATAGCCGCCGGTGGTAGCATGACACTCTTATCGTACCCTCGAATACGCAAGACTCAAGGCGTGAGGCGTTCAAACGTGAAACGGTGAAACACGAGACGACGTAACGCCTCAGCGAACCATCCAAACGTTTCGATAACGGATCTTACCGCGTTTCCACATTTTATTTACAGCTGCACGTGTTCCCCGATCGTCGCACGGTACATTTTCGATCGCTCGTATCATCGCAACGTCTGTCTCATGACGCTTATATAAAAAAAAAGAGGAAAAAAAAGCTAGCTTTTGTTTTATCGTCACGGTTACGTTTCTCTTTCCTTGTTCCTTGTGATTCACGTTTCACACGTTGCTGCCTGTAGACCACGTGGCAACGGAGACTTCAGGCATCGAATATTCGATCTTAACTGTTCCCTTGTCCTCTGGGCGATCGCTGGTGCAGTCTCACCCCCAGCATCCGCACGGAAAGCAACATCGACACCAACGACGTCTCGACGCCGACCGAAGCGACCGCATCCGACGAACGCCGTCTTCGTTCCCTCGAATTCTCCGCTTCCTCGGGACGAGAGAATAAAAACGGATGCAACCTTCCACTTTCCTCGCTATCCCGGGATCTCTCATCTGTTACGCGCGCGGCTCGATTAAGTACATCGCGAGACAGGGAAAGCGAACACGAGGAACGGCGTCCCTCTTTTCGACGACGGTCACACTCGGTTCACTTCTAGGCATCCGCGGCGACTGGAAACCGATGGAAGAGCAGACGAGAGCGTGTCGTTTGTCATTCGCGTTTACGTTCGAAAACCGGCCGAAGTCCATCGCACAACGTTCGAGACGCGACTGAGCCAACCATGTTCGGAAGCCGGCTTGACAGAGCTCTGACAAGAAGAACAAGAAAACGAGGAGGAGGCAAACATCAGAATGAGCGCATAGGTGTCCAACAGAGACGGAGGATTTGCGCGCGAGCGCGTCAGCCCGCGTGAGTCCACTTCCCGCTTAGAAGGCTGCCTGGCCATTTTCTCTCTTCCTCCCCCTCTTCCTCGCTCATTCTCACTCTCTCTTTCTCTCCCTCGCGCGCGCAGTCTGCCTCCCCTCCACATCTTCACCGCCATTTAGACTTGATCGTCACGCCGAGACCCGTTGGCCCGTTGTCCTAGTAACGATAACGATAGCTCACTCCCTCTCTCCTTCGTTCCTTCTCCCTCTCCAGCAGATAGTCCGGTTCTTGGCGGGAAACGCATTGCACAGCGGCTGTCTCTTCGCCCCGGCATCTCGAATTTTCAATTCGACTTTCGACCCTTCCTTCGCCGAAATTGCGAATAAGCCTTGCGAGTGTGGATCGTTGGAACATCGATATTCAGATGTTACGTGATATCGTACTTCCGAATTCTCGCGACGATTCTAACCTAACACACTTTAGTAGGGTTTCCGTAAGAACGAGGGGAAAGTTTTCTGTTTCGGTAACCTAAAAGGACGAAAGCTTTTGTACCAACGGATTGTGAGTTTTTAGAGTTTGAAGCTTCGAGACACGTGTTGAATGGAAATTTGAAATTCGGTAACGTTTCAGATTCTAACCTAACTAATACGCTTTTCTAGGGTTTTTATAGAAGGGGATGGAAGGTTCTTTGTTCTGATATACGATAACTTAAAAGGGCAAAAGCTCTCGTCATCGACGGATCATGAATTGTCTCGAAGTTGAAGTTTCGAGAAACGCGTTGAACGCGAATTTGAAACTCTGCGACCGTTAAGGCGTCGAGCCCGCCAGATCGCTGTTCGGTGCGCACGTGCATGCACGGTTCGGTAGGTTATCTTCTTAAAGTTTGTTCGAGAAACACCGCCGGATCGTGTGAAAAGGGAAACGGAAGTAGTATAAGTTTATCACGCGCGTTGATGTACATCGTAAGAAACGATGCCCGTCCATACCGTGGAAGGCAAGACGATACAAGGGGAGTGTGATAACGGGAAAGATAAGACCGAAAGATTAAGTATAATCCAGGCACGGAAAAACCGTGCACATTAAGATCGAGCGGCTAGTAAAAGCATGAAATGCGTCCCTCATTATAACCTCTTCGCGCGAAACACCGAGCTCGTTTCTTTCCGTGACATCGAGTGCAATCAATCCTCTTCTGTCGTCAGCTTTCGACGACAACAGTGAAACCACCCTGTGTGGGATTACACGTACTCGCCGGTTTTGAAATAAACGTTTCCTGTCTTTATGTATTTCTGTTTTAACCCAGTCACCGCCCTAAAATTGTCTAGTTACCATTTAAAAATACCCTGGGAGATAGGCAAGTTCAAAGGTGCAATTAAGATGAACACATTTTCACCGACAGAACAAAGGTAACTCTGTAAAGTATATCTATCTCTTCTTCACATAGAATTTATAGATAAATTGAAACCACGTTTCACGTTCGCGGACGCAACAATATTTTGTCGATAATGTTTATATCATTCCATTCCATGTATATACATACATATAATATTATTAATATAATAGACCATAAATTATATACATATATATACACAAATATTGTAAATTGAATAATGTATTACGTCGTGAGACTTCATTATTTGTATCTGTAATAATTATTAAAATATAAATTGCGGGTTTTCAGACTTCAGATACTATAACCAGTTAATCCAGAATATTCCAGACAGAGAAACGCGCGCGTTTCAAATCATTCTGATTAACGAATAGCGCGAAAGTTCAAACAACGCTTCACGCTGTTGCAACAGATAGGAAAATTCAGAAAAGTTCTTTACTTTCTACCTGCGCATGCCAGCGGAGAGCCAAAAACGGCTCAGCTTCCCCTCGAGTAAAGAAATAATCTTTTCCCCATAAATCCATGTTTCTTTCGGCCTGCTCCTGATCCTTCGATAATTTGACACGCTACGTTTTTATCTTATCAACGAAACCTATGTTTTACGTTCGGTTCGATAGGCGATTCGATAGGTCCGCGGTTCATGATAAGATGCCCCCACCGTACGCTACATCCCCCTTTATTCCCCGTGCTTTCCTTATTCCTAGCTTCCATCGTAGAGTCAGTAATAAGCTCATTTCCATTCGTTTGCATTGGACAGCGGATTGTATATATTTACGACAAACAGAAATGCACGAAGTACAAAGTCGAGGGATTGTCAGAAAAACTTCAGAATGTTTATCACTTCAATTTCTAATTCGCCAAGATTCTCGAACGATGACATTGCTTTCCACCCCCTGATTTTTTTATTCGATACACGGGGCAATTGTTTTACCTTTCACGCCTGCCTCTGTTCGTATCGTGTAACGTGTAAAACAGGCATGGGCCCTTCTTGTTTATTTTGATCGATGCTCGGTCAAGACGATCCGTAAAAAGGTCGAAAGATGTTGCGCAGTGACGAAAGCAACGAATAGGACGCGTGGAAAGAACGAACCTTCGAGTGAGAATAAAAATCAGATGAAAACCGACGAAACGTTTGTTTAAGTTACAAACGCGATATCGTCGACAGTAACGGTCTTATCCGTGAAATTATCTTCCGTTTCGAGCACAATTTTAAATTTAAATTCTCTTGTGTCTTGTATAATTTGTATATTGTAGATAAAAATTGTATACCTCGGTAGATTTTATATTTTATATTTCCACGATGCTTAGCATTCCGATTTTTCGCAGGTTACAACGTGGAAATATTAATGTTATGAAGCGTAATGTTTATAAGAATACAATCAACGTGGTACATCCTTTCTCTACTCTAATTAGATCGTTCAACGACATTTGAAACTCGTCGAAACCGTTTAGCGACACGTCTCTAAATACTTGGCGAGTATTCGTTAGATTCCTTAAGCAGTTTAAACGAACACTGGATCGTTCTTGCAACCAATCAACAAATTTGCACTCCTCGTTAGCTATCCGGTGCTAACGCCTAACATTTTTATTAATGCGGCCTCGGTAGAAACTCAACTTTATCGCACCATTAAAGGGATCATTTGACAAAAAAATGGTTCGTTCCTTCGGAACGAATGAGGGTTAATTGAGCAGAATCTGGGCAAGATCATTTATACTATAGTGTGCTGAATCTTATGCTAGAACTACCAAGCACTTATAATTTCCTTTAAAAATTAGAATATGTTTCTTAGAATTCAAAGCACCTATTATCCTATCCATATATATATATATTAAAAAAATTTATTTAACACTAGAACTACCAGATGGGTCAGAATTATTTCTGATTTCCTCTTTTACAATTACTAAAAAAGTAGACACTTCTGCGAAAACTCATTTGGAACAAATTCA